CACTGCCGCCCACATGTGTTTCCCATCGAATCGAATCGACCATTAAATCCGCCGCATAATGGACCCAACAATTTGTCTAGGCAGATAATTGCCGGATGAAAAAAACCAAAAAAAAAAACAGAAATCATAAAAACCAAATGATAAAGTCCGACCGAAAATTGGGGAAAAAAACTCAAGTCGACTGGAAGTTGTGCAACTCATTCTGGTTTTCTACTTATTCTTTTGGGGGTGTGTGAAAATGGGCGGAACGGGACGGAAAACTCTCCCATTTCGTGTCTGACCGCCACCAATCATGCAAAAATCAAAAAAAAAAAAAAAAAAAGTTGAGAGAATGCAACCGAAAACGGAACCCCCAGCAAGAAGTCCAAAAGAACATAAACAATTGAAACTGATTAAATTAATTTGATAACAAGTCCGGGCTGACTGACAGACAGACCGAGCATTGAAGCACTTTAGATATGACTGAGGAGACTCAGTTTTTCTCTGAGGGGGTGCAAATGGAGTTGATATGTGAAGGAAGCACTTTGGGGAATTCGTTGCTAAATTGGAATGTGAAATATGATTTTAATTTTAATAAATTTAGTTTAATTGAAAGCCGGCCAAATGGCTAGGCCCAAAGCAATTACAGATAGTTTAATATCGTTTGGTTTTTTCTTGGCCTTTTCTGGGGTCAGTTTATTGCTATAAATTATAAAAATTGACATGCGAGTTAGCTCATAAATATATTTAAGTGGTTAAGAGTCTTAAAAGCTGTCTAACTTTTTGACTTATTTGCTGATTTTTCTTGCTTAAATATTTATTTAAATATTCAGGATTAACTTTTCTATGGGCCCTTGAATAAACTACTGGACTTAAAAGCTGCTCTCTTAGAATACAGATTTTAGGGAAATAAATCGAATCATTATCATTAAATATTTTTTAGCTTCAGGCGACGATGAATATTTGCCGTTAAATTTTAATAAAACTGAAAGATAATAAAAAGTTTATTTATTCTTTAGTGTTGATTGTCATTAAAATAAAGGATTAAATTATTTAAAGGATACAAAAAAATCCGAACTTTATGTTCAAGTAAATAGCTTAAAAACTTACAGGTTTACTGCTAATTTTTTTGCAAAACAATAGTTACGAAAAAAGAAACTTTCACCACCTTTCGAGTGGAAAATCTATATATGTAGGTGTGAAAGCGTGATGAAAAACAAGTTGCTTATGATTGCTTGTTATTATTGTCACCCACAATAGCTCCTGAACCATAATTAAACAAACATCAAACATCCGCAAATCATTTAGTGATTTAATTAAGCGCAAGTGGTGGCGTCAATTACGGAGGCGTGGTCACCTATCCATAACCGATTTTTTGTTAATGTTGCATAGCCATATTTATGCAACACACGGGGTTGAAGTGAAAGCCAGTGAAGGGACAGTGACTCGGCAGTAAAAAGAGGGATGGGATCACGGTACACTCGGAAAAAGCTTTTAAACTATATTTTTTCTGTTTATATTTTCTTCCTTCGAAGCCCTGAAATATTTTCGATGAAAGTGTAATGTAGGTAAGGACATGCCAATGTAATGTCAGTGACACGTGAGTAGCATTCCCAGCTGGATTTCGAGTGGCAACAGATATTTCTGCCCAACCAGCCGAATAGTTGCACATGCTGTTTGCCACAGAAGTTTCTGTTGCTGTTGCTGTTGCTGCAGAGAATGTTCTGTTGCTGTTGCTGCTGTTGGTGATGCCACCGCGGCCGCGTCATCGTCCTTGTCACTGCAACAGCATCGACATTTCAGCCTTCCGTCCGTGTTGTTCATTTGCCAATTACGCGTTTAACTCTGCATGAAGCCAGACATAACAACCTGGCAACTGGATGGATCAGTACAGGCAGAGAAAATATTCCCAAAACTGATCAACTATATCTGATGATCACTAAAGTTCAAAATATGTAACATTAAGCAGTGACTTAAATCAGGAAATATCACATTTAGATGATCTTTTGTTTATGAATAAGTTTAGTTGCTTTTTTCTCCGTGTAGACAGGAGACAGAAGACAGGTGGCAGGGGGCAACCGCTTGTTTATGTTGTCGTGGCAAGTTGGCAACACATGCCGCATGCTTGGGCAAATCTAATGCCTTCGATCCCAACTGCAGCATTAATTATTCCGAGGGTGAAATATTTTTGGCCACGCACACAAGAGATTTCCCTTAAGTTCTGAGACTGAGCCACGGGATGCTGATGATGCCGTTGCTGCTGCTGTTGCTGTTGCTGCTGCTGTTGCTGCCACCTAATTGAGTTCACATTACTTGCCGAAAATATGTTTTATATATATTTTCGGGCAAATGTTCTTTGGTTTTATTAGCCAAACGTGAGTTGGCAACAATTTCCATTGTTCGCCGGAAAATCATGTTCAGTCGGAGATGATGAATCTTTTGGCCCGCGCCAGTTGAAAGTGTCAAACCATTTAGAGAGATGGGGTTGAGATTAGCAAGTGTTGATAGACAGACCCGAAACGTGACTGGCAATGTCCATGGGTTACGTGGATCTAAGGATCTATACAGACATCTGGCAGGGATACAAAGTTCGGCAAAGTTAAAAGCCTCTCATTGAGGGGAAACTTTTATGAGTTTGAAAAATTGGTTTTGGAATTATGTGTACAATTTTGAGGGTATAAATAGAAGTGCCATTTTAATTGCTTTTCTTTTTAGGAATCTGAATTAAACTTAAATCTTCTTTGATAATAAGATCTAAATTCAGAAATTGCATTTCTTTAAGCCCTTAAAAATACATTTCCAGCAATTATCTAATGGTGTCCCCAACTTTTAGCACTCATCATTCTCACCCACACCTGGCAACTTTTAAGTCTGTCTTTCAACCAAACCCTTTTGGTCACTCATTGCAACCGCAAAATCCATCAACAGCACCGACTTTACATATCCGCTCATTTCGCTAACGAGCTGAGCCACAGAACCACCGAACCAAGAAGACCCCGGAGCACCCCGTTCTGATCCACACCTGACATGGTTTACATCGAGCACAGCAATTTGGGGCGCACTTTTGGATAAAAAAAAAAGTGGGTGGGTATGGTATATGGTATATGGCATGGATGTTAAACTAACGAACAGTGAACAGCCATGCCCCAGCTGCAAGTGCATGAAACTCTTCTTCAGGCGATTCTCCTTCACTTTGCTGCTGCTGGTGCTGCTGCTGCCCGGGTTGACAATTTAATTGATGTGCACTCACACAAAGGCTTTTGAAGCGACCGCTAAAAAAATAAAATAAAATAAAAGTGACACCTACCCGGCGTTGCCAACACATATATATAGTGTAGGATCGAAAAGTAGGTCAGGCATGCAACCCGCTGTCACCGTTGAATAATTGGAGAGGGTATCGTCATCCGAAACCCACCCAAGCCCCATTTTCCAAACCCAAAAAACCCACCAACCTCTGGGGAAAAGTGCAATTGGAGGAGTCAGGCGAAAAATGAATAGCGGCAACCGCTTAATGGGTTTTAATTCTGATTTCGTTTGACACACGACTGACACGACTAATAAATTTCCCGGGGCCATGTCAAGTGGAAAGCCTCAACTGGCTATCCATCCCACAACCCACCCACTTGCCATATCACCTTTGATTGATTGTCTGCTGGCGCTTTTAACTGATGATAAGGTGTATAGTCAAGAAGCTAGAATGCACAACAGCCCAGAACTCAAATCAAATATGAATTACGACGAGTGGCAAGCCATGATAACCGGCTAGATAAGCGCCTGATTAGCCCTGCACTGCTAGTACAAATATTTACCTAGTTATTCACAAGTGACGCGATGCAATCTGTGGATCTACTCCACAGCTCCACAATTCCACAGCTCCTGACGCCCATCAATCACCAGGCCTGTTTGCACACACAAACACGCGAGCGTTGTAAATTTTACAACATAATTTTTGATAATTTTTCCCTATCTCCCGGCTCCCTATATAGGTATATATATAAACAAACACTTTGCATGTGTTTTATGATTCCACATGGATTTGTCCCAACTCGGTCACCCTTTTCTCCGGGCTACTGATTTATTTTTTATATTCACTGGGTTGTAAATTCTTTGTCTGGGCTTGTGACACATTGTAAAACAATTTTCCTCACTTTTATTAGCTTGGCAATCTTTTTGACAGGATTTTGTGTGTGTGTGTTTTTTTTCTGGTCGAGAATAGCTTGGGTTTAGTATCAAGTTGGGAGAAGGGGAAAATGGAAAATGGAAAAGGAAGAAATTGAGAAGTAGATTAAAGGTACTTGGGCTTTGGTTTGAAGCTATCTTAAAGCCGATTAGTTTACTCAAGTGGAAACTTGGTTATCATGTAGAGATAAACAAATCGGTTTGGAGAGGAATTAAAAATCAGTCGTTTGGGTTTTCGTTAGAAGAAATCTTAATTGTTTTCTTTAATTTTCCCTTAACTTTTACTTTTTGTTGAAGAATTTTTTTTTTGAAAAATGTTCAATTAACAAAATAAGATTTTCTGAACTTTTTTTATACTTCAATAAAATAAAAAGGCCTATCATTTATAAAGCAAACCAATTTGTCTTAGGAAAGTAATTGCCACAAATAAATCTTAAATTTATATAAGCTATCAACATACAAATCATAAAAGGGCAATTCATTTTTCTTATTTATCAAGTTAAGTTTACAAATAAATTAAAAGAAAAGGAAAACCTACTTGACAAATGGCGAATTTCCCAAATAAACTGTCCAATTTGCCAAAGGAAAATTCAACTTCTTAGCTTTAGGCCAAGAAACAATTAAAAGCATAAATTATTTACAGAAAAAAAAAGAGTAAGTAAATAAGCCTAGAAAATCTCTCTTCATTTGCCCAAAAGCCAAAAAGGAAATCCTTGGGCTTGGCATAAATCAAATTTGACCAAACACACACGAAAGTGGTAAATAATTGGTAACTTAATTGAAAAACCATGCTGCCACATAAGATGTAGATTAAGTTTTGAGAAAATTTTGTCATAACTTACCAATTAATCGCAACACCTCGTGCAAATTGAGGAAAATGTTTAGATGAGCCTGACCGCTGGCGATCAGGGTCAAAAGTAATCCGATTGTCAGGAAGTTGCTCCGGCTGTTGGCCATCTTTAGATTAGAGATTTCTACCAATTAAAATCGCAACAAGAGTTTAAACAGTTTTTGGCTCTTTCCCGATTTATATATTTTTTTTTGGCACTGGAAAAACAATTTAATTTCGGCTACACTTTTTGCTGTTCACTTTTCTTGTTGCATTTGAAATTTTATTCGTGGCGCGTCGATGTTAATCCCGTTGATTATTACAGGAATTATTTTTCAGAACATTTGGCACTTTGCCTTCTGGCCGGGAAAACTCAGGCGCACATATTTCCCAATCAGTCTCTGCACCCGTTTTTCCTCGCTTTTCTCGCAGTTTTCCGCGTTCGATTCCCGTTTGATGCGAGCACCGTGACGATTTTCCACAAACTGTCAACTGGATAAACAAACAATTTGCCACGAAGCGAATGGGTTCTACCCGAGCAGAGTGGATTGTGGACTTTGTGGGTTATGTGGACTGTATGGACCCATGGACATGTTGCAGTGAGGGTGGACCATTTGCTAGATTCCACACAGCAGCTGATTGGATTTCCATAGGTATAACAGTTCGCCACGGCAACTCCCAGAAGTTGCTGTTGCAGTTTGATGTTGGACAGCTCTTTTTGGTTCGATTTCAACGACAACCTCATCGAACTCGAGCCAATAAAAACGGTTAGTGTCCGAAGGGGTTTTTGTTTGAAAGTGTGTTTTGAATTTGATCATCCTTTTTTTGTGTACAATTTTCTTGATATTAAAATATTAAATAGATATATATGTACAGAAATGTAAAACGTGGAAAGGAAAGACTTTGTATACTTTATAAATCGTTATTTTATTATAGAGAGAAGCTCTCACTGGTTTAAGACAAATATGAAATAAATACTTTATAAATAAATACGGTTTTGGGTACATCAAGTTATACAATAAATTAAATATAATAGACATGGAAAGTTTATATATGTAAATCATTATACATATAATAGGAACAAGAAAGTGATACAAAAGGTACACTGAATCATAAATAAGATCTTAGCTGCACACGGAAAATTCTTAAATAATTAATTTAACAAAATAATTCTTTGGAATATCTGTCAACTGGCCTCTATCATCTTATAGCTTCAAAACGAATATTTGATATTTTGACACAATACTTTGGCATTCTAGTAATACCACACATCTTTTATATCTTCTTATCATTAAGTACAAGCACTTTAGCACTCCACCTTTAGCTGATCGATGGAGCTCAATGTCGTTTCAATAAGCAGATTGTAGTCCAATTCGTTCAGACTGGCCTTGGCAGTCAGTAAGTCAAGAAAGGAGTCCAGTGGCGAAAGGGCTTCGGCAGTTAAATCTTAGAAAAGATAGAATAATATAATATACAAGTTAAAAATGTAAAATCCTAAGATTTAAAATAAAAATGAATTGTGCAAATGGGACAACGACTGGCAAACACTCGGTGTTTCTTACCCATCAGCGGTGGGGCTTTCTACCAAGTAAGCGGCCGTTGCCTGAACATATAGCTTGATATGCTCAGGACGACCGTGGTCAAAATGATAAACAGAAAAACCAAAAGCAGCGAGTGGCAAACAACAGTGTTGGGTTTGCCCAAAGCTGGACGAGATGTGTTGGTGAAGAGTGTGCAAATGAAAAATTATGAGCTGTAGATAAAGTAAGTAAGCGATTCATTACCACTACGTGCATTGTTCCGTGATTGGTTGGCACAGACTGAAGTTCTCTGTTGGTGCAAGACCTCCTGCTGCTGGCCCGATAGAATGTTAGCCGCATGCTCACGACCTCGAATCATAAGGCTATCCGGATGCTGCCAACACTTGAGCAGCCTTTGAGCTCGCTGCTTTGGAAGAGCGGACAAAAGCGAAAGCTTTCGTTCAATACCCAATGGGGAATCTTCAATGTCTATAGGAAAATATAATCAAATATAGAACAAATCTTAACACATAAATTTACTTTTAAAAACTCACCAAAAACAATGGCCTTCATCACATCCACTTGCAGTTCGAACACATGATTCTCTACATATTGCAAAAACATATCGTAGCCCAATGCTCGATATCCCAAATAGGTAAAGAACGAGGAGAATCCCTCTGGCAGCGGAAAGGCAATCGATTCCACAGCCAAGCAATAACGCTCAAGAATAAGAAACAGTGAGTGCTGCTGGTTGGCAGCCATCTGGTCGCTGCAAGTATTTAAAATATAAGTAAGAAATTGTCAATATTAAAAGTAAAGCCAACCCACATCAACTGAAAACCTCTCAAGGTTTCCATGCGTGCATCTAGGCCTGCAGCTCGACAAACCAGAGAGCAAAGGGCTCTAGACAACTCCAGCTGTGACGAAACAAACTGCGAAGCCACAGCATGGACATGAGCTGGAGCCTGGGAACGCTCGAAAAAAGTCTCCTTAAGCCAACGGAATCCAGTATGAGGCTTCGAAGAGTGCTTCACCAAATGAACGCTTAGTTCACGCAGATACTAAAAAAAATAGTAATTTTAGTTCCTTCATAGTTTAGGATTATGAACCAACTAACCACAGAGATAACATGCTCCTGTTTGCTGGCAGTGCAGCCCTCCAATTCGATGAAGGGCAGGACCTCGTTACTAAATGGAAAAGCACTTCCACTACTGTAGTCTCCAAAACCACCAGTACCCGCATCCGGAGAAAGTGGCGTGGTGCATCTGGAAAGTGCCTCCGGCTGGTAACAGGCCAGGCTAAAGATCAACTTTTCGGTAACCTGCTCAGCACTGAATCTAGGCTGCTCTTGCTTGGCAGATTCGTTAAGCAGATCCCATAACCTGGTCCATATATCCGTGCGATAAGGTGAGAGGCGTTGCTGTGGCGACAGCAGCATCATGCTGGTGTTATGCAGCGTTTCATGAGAGAGACCTACGCTGATGTCAGCTACTTTTGCATGAATTGGTCGCGAAGCTATAGCCGTGGTCAATGGTAGTAGCCTGATCAATGGCTTAGCCTCCTCCGGCAATCCACGAACGGCAGTAGCACAACTGCCAGCAACAAGTGCCTCCTTTAACAGGGCCACCGTATCCAAGGATAATGGACGTTCCAAGATACTATTCAGTAGCTCGGCCAACACATCCATGTCATTCGAATGGAGCAAGAAATAGTGTATAATGCTAATTCTATTATCCAGTGAACTGTCATTTCGAAACGCTTCTATCAGATGGGATTTGGGTACAGTTAACGAAACAAGATCCAGGGTAGCAGCATCGTAGGCAAGGGCACCCCACTTTCGCAAAGGCACTAGCTGCGTGAGATCGGGACTTCGATTGTGGGCAGCACATACAATATGGCAGTTTGGTTCATGCTGTAGTCCAACGTCTAATAAATGCACAAAAAAGGCGGACGACACCAGCAGATGATGTTGACCATGAAGCGCAAATGTGGGCCTCAACAGCCGAGCCTTTTGCCAAGGTACTCCGGGCATAACGCAGTGCACAACACAGCCGTGGTGTAGTAAAGTCACGGAATAGGCAAAGTGTACGTCCTTCTGCTCCGACTGCATTGGCTGGTAAAGGTAGTAGTGGCACACGAAGAACATACCCGATGTATCCGCCAGAATAATGAGGTTTAGCGAGCTATCGTGCACGCGCAAAGGCACCGCATCGTCATCATAACTTGGCGTTTCCTCCTTAGAGCCATTAGGCAGCTTCGGCAAATTAAGGGGTATATTAAGCTACAAGAGAAAGTTGAAAGTGAATTATTACTTAATGTTAAAGCCAAAAAACAATGGAATTTGGAGTTGGAAAAGTGTAGTAAATCCCAAGCACCTACCACAGTTTCTGTAGGTTGTTTCTCGTTGAACTGGAATGCCGATAGAGTGGGACTCAATATGGGAGTTGCCGGCTCGCCAGCCTCCTCCCTTTCGTCTAACAAACTGAGGCTCTTGGCTTTTGGCTTCAGATGGATGTAGTAAAGAGCCTGACACTCGGGATCCCATTGGGCCCAACTGAAATTCCTGGCCAACGTTTCGTGAGTAAGAATGCTGGTGTCTAGCCGCCATGCACTCCCCTCGCCACCTCCAGTCGAAGATGTCGTGGAGCTCTGTTTCACCACACAGCTATATTGTTTGATAGCTTAAGAAGAAAGCATGATATAAATTATATATGCAAGATTACCGAATGTTTTAGCACCTACATTCCTCGTGGGTGAGCACTAGAAGCTTATCCTGCCAGCATGTGCGTGTGGCACTCTCAACGCGCCACAAGAACTGGGTCATCATTTGGCGGGTTGTTGGCTCTGGATTAAGGGGCGTGACCGTGCCTCCCTCAGAACTTCTCACCTCCACAACAAAAGCCTGATACAGTTTTCCATCAGTTTTCTCCACAAAAGACAGCAGGGTGACACTACTATTAATTGTTGCCTGGACAATCTCACAGCATTTATCCAAAGTCCACAGGAGCCGTAATTGCTTTTTGGTGGCATGAAAGTGTCCAATGCAAGTCTCCTTGCGCTGATCCTCGTCCGAATACTCGAATATCCAAGATGTCAGTAGGGATCCATCTTGTTCTTGACCCAAAATGCGCCACTCGTTTGCCTTCTCTGTAATTGGAAAAGAACTTTTTGTTAAGATATGTTAAATAATCTGAGTCCGAATGGAGATAACCTTTATAGCCCTGGCTGGCCAATAAGCCGCAGAAGTTGGCCGCCAAATTCTCCTGCCGCAACATTTCTGGTTTTATTTACTATTTCTAAAATAACATTTAGTTGGAATTTTTCGTTTCTGCCAATCTGCCTGTGTGAACGTTTCGCGGTTCTTAAAAAATACCATTCCCCTAAGAACCGTTACTCTCAGGCACAGGGTGAGCTGTGCAAATCCAATGGAATGGAAACACAAAAGTTTAAATCTTTATAAACCAAACATAAATAATGGAAACAGATAAGCATGTCGCAAAAAAATATCTATAAATTTTTATAATTAAGAAATTCGTGGTTTTTGATAAACTAGCTTCCATATCGATATTAATCATATAAAAAGATTTTTATCATCTTCACTAAGCTCGCATAAAACAGTTATAAAAGGTGAAAATTAAGATTAAAGAAAACAAAAAACTAAGAAGAAGATTTAACAAAATGCCAAGTGAAATTATTACCCTTCAATTGGGCCAATGTGGCAATCAAAGTGAGATTATAAATTTTAGAAAATTTCCCTCTTGGATTATAATTAAGTTTATCCACAGTTGGTTTTGAGTTCTGGAAGAGATTGTGCCTGGAGCACGGAATCTCTCCAGATGGCGTCCTTGAGGACTTCGCTATCGATGGACAGGATCGCAAAGACGTGTTTTTCTATCAGGCAGACGACAATCACTACATACCAAGAGCCGTGCTCCTGGACTTAGAGCCGCGAGTCATTAACAACATCATGACCTCTACATATTGCAAGGTCGGTCAGTTTATAATATGATCTTAATGTGATTATTTATATCTATTCATTGGCTTATGAAAAATGTATATTTCCCTTCACCAGCTCTACAACCAGGAGAATGTGTTTCTTTCAAAACACGGTGGCGGCGCAGGTAATAACTGGGCCTCAGGTTTTAGTCAAGGTGAGAAGGTCCAGGAAGAGGTGTTCGACATCCTGGATCGTGAAGCAGATGGCAGCGACTCGCTGGAAGGATTCGTTTTGTGCCATTCTATTGCAGGTGGCACAGGATCCGGAATGGGATCATATATGCTAGAGCGCCTTGCCGATCGTTTTCCCAAAAAGCTTATCCAGACGTACAGCGTTTTTCCCAACCAGGATGAGATCAGCGATGTTGTCGTCCAACCATATAACTCAATCCTTACCCTAAAGAGGCTAACTAAGTGCGCGGATAGTGTGGTTGTTCTAGATAATACCGCCTTAAATCGCATTGCCACCGAGAGACTGCATATCCAGACGCCAACTTTTACTCAGATCAACAATCTGGTGTCCACCATTATGAGTCTGAGCACCACTACCCTACGATATCCTTCGTACATGAACAACAACCTAATTGGTCTGACAGCAACAATTATTCCAACGCCCCAGTTGCACTTTCTGATGACAGGATATACACCACTGATCACAGATTATGAAGTAAGAAGTAGAACTAAGCCATAAATATTTCCTTTTATATGTTGTCTTATTTATAGACCAAAACGAACGTTCGTAAGACATCTGTTTTGGATGTGATGCGTCGCCTTCTTCAGCCAAAGAACATGATGGTGTCCGCCATGACAGACAAACATAACCGTCAATGCTTTATCTCCATTCTGAACATTATCCAGGGCGAGGTGGATCCTTCCCAAGTGCACAAGTCGCTGCAGCGCATCCGAGAGCGAAAGCTTGCCAATTTCATACCCTGGGGTCCGGCCAGCATTCAGGTGGCTCTGCCACGTAGTTCACCGTACGTGCAATCGGCCCACAAAGTCTCCGGCTTGATGATGGCCAATCACACGGGAATCAGTGCGCTATTCAAGAGGGCATTGGCCCAGTACGATAAGCTGAAGAAGCGGAATGCTTTCTTGGATAATTTCAGGCGCGAAACCATGTTCAAGGACGATCTAAGCGAACTGGACATTGCTCGGGATACAGTCGACTGCTTAGTGCAGGAATATGAGGCAGCCACTCGCATCGATTACCCCCAGTGGAGTCCTAACAAAATACTTTGAATAATAGTAATCTTATACGTTTTATTCTTTAAAAAATAAAATATCTTTCTTATCTTATTTGTATATATGATTAAATCATTTTCTCAAAAAGAAAACAATCAAATTCGTTTCGTGTAAATTTTGTAGGTAGCGTAAGCCTTGAATTTTGTTGTCAAATTTAAACTTCTGAGAAACCTATGGAATATGATTTCCTCATTCGTTTTTCAAAATTCATTGTGTTAACACCTTGGAAAATAGTTTTTGTCCAACATTTTTCAGTTTTTTTTTTTTTGTTGGTTTATCGAATCGTAAGTTAACGTTATAAAACTCTAAATATGATATGATTAAATAGTGTCTATCTTTTCATTAGACCATGTGCTGCGGACCCTGTGGACCTCGATGCTGCGACCCTTGTGGTGGCTGCTATAACTGCTGCGTCGAACTCTGCTGCGTGCCCTGCACTCCAGCTTATATTCAATGCAGCTTTATGCCCTGCGGTCCCAGGTGTGGTTACTAGAAGAACAGAACAGCAATGATTTATAAAGGATAGTCCAGCTACAATCAATCAACAGGATTAAAACTGAATACACCAAAATGTACTAAAATGTCCCCAAATAACGAATTAAATAAAAAAAAAAAACAAAATACTGCGTTTACATTTAATTAAATAAGTTTTGAACTTGAACAAAGCATAGAAATTTACTATGTGCTAGAAAAATCAGTCCATAGGTTTGTACATTACCTGATATTTGAGTTTTATGATCGTTTATTTTATCGTTTTCAATTAAGGTTTAAAAAATATATCCGTGTAATATGCAGCTTCTATTGTCCTCAACCGCAGAACAAAGGTTCTTGCAGCCTTTCAACCTAATCCTTCAAGAACTAGTGGCTCCTCTGTAGTAGCGTGGAAAGTGTATCAATTTAGAAAACATAGCATCCTTTTAGGAGGCTTCATCTAGTAGTTTTTGAATTTGTTTACCCGTAAAACGTTTGGGAACCGTTAAGGGTCGACAAGGAATATAGTCAGTCTTACTTTGAGCCGGTATGGGAACACATCAAAAATAAAACAAAAAAAATAAATAAATTTGCAATGAAAAACACCTTTTAGAAATCCAAATTTTTTGTTGTGGTAGGCATATTAAAAAATAAAAAAAAAAAAAAGTGTGCATATACTAAAGTTTTGTAAACCAGACATTCCAGTGCAAACGTGAAATCTCTGTGATCAGCCGCCTTACACAAGTTACCCAAGATGTGCTGCACTCCCGGAGGCTGTTGCAATTTGCCGTCGTGCATCCAGTGCACTAACTTCTGCTTTAATTGCTGGACTGGAACTGCTGCAGTGCCATGTTGCCGAGGTAGTTGCATTCCGGGATGCTGTGGCAGTCCACGTTGCCGTTGTTGATTCCGACACCAAAATTACTGACACCGAAAGACTCTAAATAAAATAAAAAAATAAACAATCTATTTTTATTTTTTCTTAAAATATCAAAGAATATGGTGAACGTTTTGCCTTTTTCCATCTCTTGTTTCGTATATTTATATGAATAAAGGAACGTCTGAAGGTTTAAAAAAAAAAATGCAAAGCGCCAACAATTCAAAATTAAGCAAAACCGCCACACAAGGGGGTTAGGCGAATATACTATTTAGTATTTTCTGCAGCCATTTATTGACAATTTAGGTCTGGTCACACCAATGCAAACAAAAAAACACGACTAAAAGTAAACAATTGAATAAATCAGTGATAAGGCGTCTTATAAGAAAACAAGATTCTGGTGTCAGGATGACGGAGGGCAGCACCCATTGGCTGAACTGGTGTCGGCTGTGCGCCAAAGACGACGCCCGTGGCAATGTGAAGGTGCAAATGAATGTAAATTCCCAAGGAACATGGGACAATGTCTTAGTTATGACCATTCGGAAATACTTCGAGGTGCACGTAAGTTGGCCAGGAATGCGATATATATATCTGTTATAATCCTGTAATGTATACACTATAGATGCAACTAGAGGATGAGGAGAGCAGCGTGCTCTGCACCGAGTGCTATACTCTCATCAGTGAACTAATCGATTTTGCAGAGCATGTTACGAAAGTTCAGGCCATTTTCGAGGTCCTGCGACGAACAGAAACGGAACCAGACAATCACCTAGATTTGGCTGCTCTGCGTCAGCAGTATGGTCTATGCGAAGAAGACTGGACGCACATCATTAAACCCATACAGGCACCAGAAATCGAAATGGGCATGGACGACACAGAAATCCATCAAAAGCATGCCAAAGTGGTACAGGAATCTCCGATAGTGGAAGAAACCAGCATAGAATCAGAAATATCAGGAAGGGAAACAATGTCCCATGAAATTATAACCAAAAAGACTCTAGAACTTGAGATACCGAAGCAAGAATTCGTTGATATAGGTCCCATTCTCATGGAAAATAATAAAAATAGACTGGATATGGAGGATTCCCTAGTTGAACTACCTGAAGAGGAGTTATCCGAATATCGCGTGGACAGCACAACCTCCCCACTTTTCCAGGGGCATGATGTCAAGTCAGAAATGCCTGACAGCTATGATGATGATCCTGAATTCCTGCCCGAAGAAAATCAACAAACGAATCGAGTCGATATAGCAAATGCTCCAACGCCAAATGCTCCAGAATCAACTGCAGAGGAAAAAGCCAAACGTGGACGCATGAAATGTGAGAAATGTGGTAAGGGCTATCGAAATCGCGGCTCCTACGAGAAACACTTGGAACGGGAGTGTCGCAGGATCGAGCGGCGGGTGAAAGTAGACAAAGCCACAACCACCTGTGACCTTTGCAACAAAACCCTATCCTCTGCCACAGCCCTTAAGCTGCACAAAGAGGGCATCCATCAGAATGTCAAGCCATATATCTGCGATAGTTGTGGAAAGCAATTAAAGACAATTACAGCCCTAAACGAACATAAACTGGTGCACACAGATAGTCGTCCTTTCGAGTGTGCCGTTTGCAAGGCCGGCTTTAAGAACCGTGCTCGTCTGAAGGCCCACCATCAAATCCATGCGGAGCCCAGTTTTGTTTGCAACATCTGCGGCAAAAAGCTGCAAACGCGGCGCACCTGGAATATGCACAAGGTGGTGCACAGCGAGGAGCGGCGCCTGAAGTGCGATGTCTGCGGGGCGCTTTTTAAGCGCTCAAAGACCCTCAAGACCCACCTGCTCAGCCATACGGGACTGCGGCCCTACGTTTGCAACTACTGTGGGAAGTCCTTTGCCTGCAACGCCAACTGCCGTTCGCACAAGCTTAAGAAACATCCCCTCGAAGCTCAGCAGGAGGAGGGTGCCAGGATCTCATCTCGCCTGAATGTTCCTACGTTGGAAGAACTTCGTGTTATGTAAGTGCACGTAATTTAAAAAAAAACATATTTTATTTATTTAATTTTTGTAAATTTCTTCCAGGACTCAAAAACTACCAAAAAGAACAGACTAATGTCACAAAATGTTTTCCACAAATGTTTTTAATTTGTTTGCGTTAAAACCGAACAAACTTCGATATGAGATTAAATCGAATGTCTTTTTTGGACTTATTTTTCCTTTGATTGTAATATAATGTTAGTTACTTGAATTATTTAACTTCTTACCTTGTCAAGAGAAGTTGAAATTATTTTCAATTCGTTTGATTGCCACTGCAGCTGCAATTAGCCTCTTAGAAGAAAATAAAACGCATTTGATTTATTTAAAAACAAAATAATTTTATTGTGGTTTAATGGAAATAGAAATTCTTACAATACAATTGTTGTTGCTGGTTGTTCTTGTTGGTTTTGTTTAATATTAATGTTACACAACATTTTTTAAATGTTAATTAATACCATATTTTAATGTAATAATAATTTCATGTTTTTCATTTTTTTAATTACTTCGAAAATTGTGGCCCCTAAGCATTAAAAAGACTTTCATTTGTTACTATTATTATTATTATTATTATTATTTTCAAATTCTCGCTGACGCTGTTTTGTCTTTGATTTTTTGAGTAGAGTTCAAAATCTGTTATATCAAATTCAAATAGGTGTTCCCGAACTCCTTTCGCCACTCTAGCAAACTGCAGCTTTTAATAAATTATTATGATTTTTTTAACGTTTTTTTTTTCCACATGTATAAAAATATTTATATATAATTTACTGTAAGTTTTTTTGGTTTTCTCTTACACATTACATTAATGAGTTGTTATTTTGGGTTTGCCTTAAGTTCATATATATATATAAGTATATATATAAAATGCGCATACAGTTGGAATCTTAGTTAATAATAATAGTTAATGAGTTAATAACGTTCACATTCAATTACATCGTATTCGATTTAGTTACGATTATGATTACATTTAAATTACCTTTGTTTTTGGTTGCTTGTTCTTGACAAATTCAAATTTAAATGGAAAGAAAAAAGTTGGTTTTTTAATTGAAAATACAGAAGATTTAAGTTATAAATGCGTATTTGGTTGCGTTTTGCCATTTTGTCTACTGATTTAGGCTTATTACATTTAATTGTGCTCAATTTGTGGGCTAGATTGAGTGTTGAATGACTGATTGAATGATTGAGTGATGACTGACTGAGTGAGTATCATGCAGGGTGTCTGAGGAGCTGAAGAGCTGAGCTGAGCTGATCCTGGCAGTAAGTTGAGTCAGTTACAAACTTGAACCAAATGGTAAAATGTTCTGTACTGTGGTTAAATCTTTGTATGCATATTAGAAACAGTATATAGCATATAGTATGCATTTGGTGGGCGTGTATATATTTTTATTTTTTCTTAATATTTTCCTTTTCATTTTAACGCAAAAAGTTAACAATTTCCTCGTTCGAAACAGCTGAAAAATGGCCTGCCTGACAAAGTCTACATGTAATATATATAGATTTATATATATATATATATATGTATATATTATAGAATAAAAATGCCAACCCTCAATGATATACATTATTTGCTTGTCAGTCCATATTTTCCACATTTTCTTGTCCTTTGCTTTAACATTTTTTTTTTTTTTTTTAAGTTTTTAGTTTTAGTTTTTTGTGTTTTGTTTGTGTTTCTCTTAAGTGTAAAACAAAATTTGAGCGAAATATACGAGTTGTAACTGAACGTACAGTGTAAACAATTAACCATAAAGAAAACATATTATTTTAGCTGATAAAATGTTTTATTTTCATATGACTATGTTTAGTATATGAAAGCCATTTAAGCAACACCCTGTATACAGTATACACTTGTTTTTTTTATTTATTTTTATTTTAAAATTCAACTTGGCTTTAGCAGAGAAATTCAAATTGCGGTAGACGTTCAAATCAATCCTTACATGGAAAATATATAAATCGTTAGCTAAAACATAATATATATGTGTATATAAAGAAAACTTAATTATAACGACATTTAACATTAGATTGGTGTTCTTTTTCGGTTTCATTTTTGTTTTTTGTTTTTTGTTTTTGTTTTTTTTTTAATATTAATTATTATAAAAATACATATATGTATGCATGATGACTAGATGATGATTCCATGATCGGGGCTTAGTTGCACTATATAGCATTATAAATATTAAAATCTATGTTGAATGCGTGATTATGAGTAAGATGAGCTAACATTTATGCATATTTCAATGATTTAGCAACGTTGATTCATGTATGTATGTGTGTGTGTGTGTGTGTGTTTGTGTTTGTTTTGTTTGTGTTTGTGTGCGGTTCGACCGTAGAGACTCATTTCCACTAATTGCAAATATATATTTAAATATTATTTATATAATTTTTTGAGTCCCAAAATTGATTTAAAATAATTGCGTAACGTAAACTTGTCCATGCATTGCCATCGAAATGAATGCGTTCGTTCCATTCATATTTTTACATCTTACTCTCTCTTCAATAACAAATTTAACATAACACAATTAATTGGGGAATGTTTTGGTTATTAAACATTAAACATTTTTCTCTTTCAAATGAAATGTTGCTGTATTCTGTCTGCCAAGAAGCTCTTGTTGTCATTGATGTTGCTGTGCAATTTGTGCAATACTGTAAGAAATAAAATCAAAAATTCAATAAATCAAATTGTTTTTCATACAAAATAATATGGTTAAAAATATATGTGATTTCGATTGTAGTTTCAAGTAAATGAAACTATCTATAAAAAAAAATAAATATATAAAATTAAAAATGATTTTTAAACTTCCTATTTAGTTATTGCATTTTACATTGCCCATTTGGTTCTCATTTAAAGTTAGTTTTAACTTTTGCCTTAAAATGTTCGACTTAAAAAATATTATTTTTAGTGTTAGTTTTCAATATGTTGCCTTGCTTTAAAAATTACAAAAATGCTTGGGATATGAATGTGTGTGTTTTTTTTTTTTAGTTTTTAGATTTTTATATTTTGGTAATCTTCAATAGGAAGAATAAGCAGCTAACAACAAACAGTTAATACGCCTTATATTTTGTATATGCATTATAATTATAGATTATATTCACGGATGTATATAAATATTTTATCTTGCTGCTAGAAAAATTAGCGAAAATATTTCCATTTTCCTTGATCTTCTTGTTGTTTGTCTTGCGCGTTTTGGAGTTTTCCATCGAGAGTGAAAAATCAGTTTTTGTTTAGCTTAAAGTCAGTTTTAGTTTTTAAATTTTTCAGTTTAAACGAGTGCATAGGGAGAAAACAAGCGAAAGGAAAACGGAAAAATCTGTTCAGAAAAATTCCCTAAACGAGTCTTATCTTCAATTTATTTCACAAGAGTTATTTTTTTTTAATATTTTTTTTGTTTTTTTTTTTTAGTTTCACGTTTACGTTTTCGAAGCAGTCTAAGATTTTGTTGTTTTTGAGTGTTAAAAAACTGTTGAGTTCACTACTAAGTGGTTGGTTTTTTGTTTGCCTTTAAACACACACATAAATATATATTTTTATATACTCGTAGATATATGTATATAAGTATGTAGCGTTAAGTAGTAGCCTAGTGTGTAAAATGTATTACAGATGGAGAGGTCCAGGACTTTATCCAGGGCTTCAACTTCAACTTGATTTTATTTTATATATATATAGTAGCAACATTATAAATATAAATATTCATATATATATATATATGTATGTATATATGTGTATAATTTGTTGTGTAAATCTTTTTCAATTCGTGTATAAAATCAGTCGTAGTTAATTATTTTTTGTTTGGTATTTTTTTATCATTTATGTTTAGTTGTGGTTTGGATTGCTACTTGAATGTTTCGGTGAAAGTTCTTAAACCAAGCTTTTAAAATGTTTATGTAAATTATTTATCCGAATGAATTGATCTTGTTCCTCAATTTCTAATCTATATAGCTTACATCTAATGAGACAAAAGAGGGAAATCAATGGGATAAATGAACCAATCTTTCGACATTATTTCTATGTTGAGTTACATACAAATTACAGACATTCAAACAGACACTACTCAAGCATGCATATTAAATATATATATTTTTTATTTGGTTCTCATATTATTCTGTTAAAACATTTGACGGACTATAAGAATTAAAAACCTACTTATTGAAAAAGTTCCAGCCACGAACGCAAAACGATTTCCGAAACGGTTGTAGAAAGATTTTGAACTCGAATTTGAGATCGTTTTACATTGATTGCTGGCCGAAACATAGACACACACACACTCAATGATTATTCAGTTTGTTAGCTGCATATATCTATATGTTATATCAGTAATAATTTAGTGGTTCAAGCATTTTGTTCAGAGCTTTTGTCATTATGCATAATCTAATAATACTTAAAAACACTTCTACGAAGCCAGTTTGAATTTTAATTTACTTATGTTTTTTTCATTTTTGGATTTGGTTTTCATTCATTCATAGTTCGCTGTATTTTCCGCTGCTTGCCTTTCCTCCATCGATCTATTCGATTCCGAACTAACGCCGATCTACTAGAACTTGTACAAAATTTAAATTCCATACAAATATGCTCAACAATGCCGACAAATGACTTTGATTTACGTTTTGGTTTTTTGTTTTGTTTTGTTTTATCGTTTCCTTAATAACATTTATCAAAAATATAAACTACAATTAAAATGATTTTGTTTTTTAGATATGACATACAAACACCAATATGTTCGCATTTATATATCCTAACATCTAGTTCTGTTCTGTGTAACTTGTGCCTGACAGTCTCTTAACCAACCCCAAAAAGAGAGAGAGACCGATCCGTAGATGGATCGATCTCGATTCGATTTCGCTTCGATTCCGTTCAACATTCATAGAGAGCTCCTAACAATCACAAAAAATAATAGTAGCAATAATAATATGATTAATATATATACGTTAATGAGGGATCTTTCAACACCCACGCACTTGCATTGCCATTTTATTAAACAACACTTACACTTAGCACACTACTCAAAATGTCTTAATGTTTTCTTTTATTTTTTTCCTTTTTTTTTGACTTCCTAAATGGTTTTTCTTTTCATTTTTCCGTATGGTGGAGTTACTTTTTCTTTTCAGAATTTTCCTTAAATTTCTTTTGGCTTCTTTCTTTTTTTTTTTCTTTTTTTTGGTGACCGAGAATTTGCCCCAAAAAAAAAAAAAAACTAATCACAAATGGCGACACACGCAAAATGCCCAACTACATATACTATATATCGGCAATGTTAACATACATAAATCGGTTTTATATATATTTTTTAGAGCAAGAATACCAAAGCAAGTGTCAAAAGGGCATCGAGGCCTTTTCATTTTTGTTTTTCGTTTTGGTTATTTAGAGGGTTAGAGCACAGTTAATTGGCGGTATAAATCGTTTACATTATCGATCTGGAATATCGGAAATAAAACTGCTAATATATATTAGTTAGTTTTGATAGCTCACTGTGCTATAGTTACACAATTTATCTTATAAGTATATAATATATATAAATATTTTTTACTTTTCCTCTAGGGTTGTGTGTGGTTGCTCCTTAACCGATCTTCAAATATATAGAAATATATATATTTAAAAAACTTCTATCGGTTTTTCTTTTCCATTTTTTGTTGTTGCACAGTCTATTAGATTCTCAATTCATCAATTTGTTTATCAACATACATTCACATATATATATATATAGATCTATATATATATATATCCATATAAAGGTTAAATAGTTTACCACTACTATATAGATAGATCTCAGAGAGGGTGGATAGAGAGGGAGTTCAGGAAAGGAGAGTTAAAAGGAAGGCTGGGTAGGGTCGGCATCAACGGGCTAACAACATCGCATCTGTTCAAATCGATACACAAATCTAAAAAATGCTAAGAAAATAAAATAAAAAACAATCGATACAAGAGTAAATAATAAATAAAGCAACAGTTTGTTTTTATCAGAATATGTATAAAAATCTTTAATTCAGTTGGTTTTTGTGGCATTTGTTGGGTTGTGTTTGTGTGTGTTTTAGGCTTTTACAACATTTTTTTCGTTTGTGGAGCAGAGATTGTTTGCTTTGCTATTGTTTAGGCATATAGTTTATATAATAGTTGTTATCATATTTGTTGTTGTTGTTGTTGTTGTGTCCCATGTTGTGTTTGTAGTTCGTAGTTGTAGTTGTATAACATTTAAAAATGTAATAATAATAATAATAGTTGATAAACATAAAAACAAATTTATGCAAGCACAAAAAGTACAAATAAAGGTCCTTGTCAGAAAACTGTTTGTGCGCGCTAAAATGCTAATAATAAATACAATTAAATAGTATGCATTAGGCCATAATAAATACCATCAATTAGCAGTTTCCTTTTTCGTGTTTTGTTTTTTCTCATTTTTTTTTCCATTCATTCATTCAACAATTTGTATATAAAAAATTTTCAACAGTATGTTTGTTTGTTTGTTTGTTTTTCTCTTTTGTATTTTTTTTTTTGTTGTCAAGTAAAAAGTGTTTCTTCTCTCACTTAGAAAACGTACAATACTTTTGTTTAAACCCTTCATCGTTATTACAGCTACCATTACATCGATTACAACTTCGTCTTCGTTCCATACAATAATAAGTCAAATAAAGTCAATTAAGTTTACAACAAGAAAGAACTAAAAAATATATTCTCGTATATTTAATAATCTCACTTAAGTAAATACACACAAAACATAATTAATAATTATAGATAAATTCAAATAATAAATCAAACCAAATCAAAAATTACACAAAGCAAAGCGTTTTTTCAAAACAAACAAAGAGGAAACTATTTTAGTTTTAAATACTACTTTTTTTTTTTTCTTTTAAATACAATATTGTTAAATTATATATTCAAGAAAACTAATACCTGCTTACGTGTGGGTGTGTTAATGGGGGGAGGAGGAGGGCGAGACATGGGTCAGGGGGAGCCTTTCGCGTCGCGTTTCAGCAAAACCAACAAAAAAATAGTTATTACTTTTAAAATTACAAAATAAACATTTTTTAAATGCTGTTCCTGTTAATGTTGCGTTTGTAGTCTCAAAAAGTTGTTACTTCCTTGCCTTAATAGTACATTTCTCATTAAATATCTAACTTTTAATCGTCCTTCTCTTTTTTTAACTAACCCTTAAAGAACACTTTGTTTTTGCAATCATTTGGGGGGGCCTATCAAAATAAATGCTTTTAATTATTTATCAAAATCATTGCAAGCGAAGAAGTCAACTAAGTGCATACAGTGCGTAGCAGAACAAAAAGTTATTGAAAAATCCAACAAATTGTTTAGTTAATATATATAATGAACAATCCATTAGATCCTAAATTCAGACCATTGTGTTGCGCACTGTGTGGCTGTTTTATATATTTAATACCTATTACTTTCTCTCTCTCTCTTGAAGAAGAAGAAGAAGCAGAGAAGTAGGAGAAAACATAAAGAAGCTATTGGTCTGGCTTGGCTTGATTCTTCTTTATAACTATTAAATTATTTGAGATTTAAGTGTTTATCATACATTAATATTATATATATATATATAAATACATATATCTGGGGACATAGACATACCATATCTAGTTGTATAATTTATAATAGTTATAAATGTTTTAAGTCTTCTGCGCTGATTGCCAACTTTTAGTTAAATTTTACTTTTATTCTTTTTTGTTTTTCGTTTTGAATTTCTTTCTCGAAATTGCCAGGGGAGAGGGGGGGCGGTATGAAAAACATTTGCATGATTTACATAAATATCGCTTTGTTTTTGTTTTTATTTCATATATAAACATTTTCATATTTATTTAAATTCAATTTGACAACAAATAATTTTATAGGTTAATATAGGTTTTGGGCAAAAACAACAAATTCGTCCGTCTTGCTGCTTGCTAAACAAAGAAATTATTTTAAGAAATAAATGCCTAAACAAAAAAATATTTCAACAATTAAGAACAAAAATTTCAACTATTCTCAGTGCGTTTTTAGTTGGTTTTGTTTTTAAAAATTAAGAAACGGCAAAAATGGTTTTGTTTTTTTGTCTGAAATTATTATTATTTTTAATTATTATTCTCCTGTCGTGTTGTGTGTTTTTGGGGGGGTTACAATTTAAAAATAAAACAATAAAAGAAAACATAAATTCTAGGCGAGTATAAAAATTGTGAATTATTTTTGTTGTTGTTGTTTGTTTTGTGTCGCTCGGTTTCGGTTCGGTTTTGGATTCCGTTGGATTTAGTTTTTGTTTTTCGTATAAAAGTAGCAAACATGTCTTAGAAGGTAATTAATTAATGTATACATATAAATAATCAGTAATCAATAAGTGGTATAATCAAAAATAATTTATAAACGTAAAAAACAGTTATATAATATATAATGTATCAAATGTTTATGCAATCAAAAATAATAATAACAAACAATTTGCTCAATCATATATCTAAGAATTACAATCAATTATTAATTAATTAATGCTCGATACGCGTCTTCCATTTCGACATTGTGTTGTTAAGCTTGTTAATGGTTAAATTTCTCTTTTTATATTAACTTCTTTCCTTTTTTTTTTTTTGTTAATTTTCTTAAGTTTTTTTGTTTGTTTTGTTTTTGTTTTTGTTTGCAGTCTGCAACGAACATAAAAAAGTGGAGGGATTTCTTTCTGGTATTTTATATATAGTTAAAAAAGTGTCATTTCTTTTGTTTGTTGGTGTTTGTTTTGTGTTTGTTTTGTGTTTGTTTTGTGTTTGTCTCGTTTGTTGAATGAGAGACTTGCACGCGCGAGAGATAGCGGAGAGAGAGGGGCCTTGAAGCGAGAGGTGTGCAAAGATATAGAGACGCGACGGAAGCGACACTATCCGATTTGAACATGAACATGAATACCACATTATTTATCATAAACAAATACGCACAAAATAAAAACTAAGCTTAACAGTGTAAATATATATATAAAAAAAATAAAACAAAATTCAACAATAATTTAAAAGATAATAAAAAATCATTCCAACAGTGTGCGTGTGTGTGTGTTTTACTACATAGCGAGCAAAGTCTAAGGCTATGAGAGATGACGACAGATGACAGATCGGGGAAAGAGAGATTAAGGGGGCCTTATAGATTTCGATTTCGATTTCGATTTCGATTTTGTAGATTTAGAATTAGAGCTGGAGAGACCGCGCAAGTCAGACTATTGAGAACTTAGCTTAGAGCAGTAGTAAGAGCCGGAATTTACACACAGATCCTCTCATCCATTCCGGACTCCCCTTCCATTGGAGTGTGTGTCTGTGTCTGTTTACATACCCACTGGCGCCAGTTGGACATAGCGATAGATATAGAGCCGGTAATCCTTGCTGGCCAGCACCACACTGCCATCGTCCATGAGCGCCACATCGAAACACTGGGCGTGCTTCACCTTGGACTCGAGGGCCGAGATTAGCTGACCGTCCTGCGTGAAGATCGTCAGGTTGAAGTTGTTGTGGTTGTCAGCAATAAGAATCTCCCCGTTGGAGTTGATTCCGACACCAATTGGATAATTGGTTATGCCCTCGCCGCCAATCTGCCGCAGATACTGGCCCTCGTAGTTGAATACCTTGACGCAATGCGCCCGATTGTCGCTGATGAAGATCTCCTGCTTGTCATTAACCACCACGCCATTGGGGAACTCCAAATGCTTGGAGCATCCGAATTTGTGCAGAACATTGCCATTCTGGTCGAAGATGATCACACGCATCACTTTGCATTCCACCACAATGATCCGTCCCTTGTTGTCCACGGTCACACCACGAGGATGCTGCAAAATTGTGGCACCGAACTTCCTCACAAACTGTCCATACTGATTGTAGATCTGGATTTGGTGCGTGGGCGAGCGTTCGGTGACGATAATATCGCCGGAATTGCGCACCACGGCCACACGATTCGGGTACAGCAGCTGGGAGTCACGCTTGCCGCACTCGCCAAACTGGAACTTGAAGCGTCCCTCCTTGTCGAAGATCTGAATGCGATGGTTGTTCGTATCAGCCACAATGATGTCATTCTGGGCATTAACTGCCACACCGCTGGGCTCTGTGAACTGTCCCTCCATCACGCCGAATTCGCCAAACTTGCAGTGGTAGATCATCTTCTGACGCTTGATCTGCGATTTGGGCGGATAGATAGTGGCAGAAAGCAATTTGTTGGTCAGATCCAGCAAGGACTCTGAGCTCACGGTACTTCCGCCGGCTCCACCGGCACCCACAACGGTTCCTCCAACCGAAGACAGGCTGGCGAATGCATCAGCCACAGCAGAGCTACCGGCAACGCCATTTGTTACTGACGAGAAGAGGTTGTCGCTACCTCCGTTGCTCCACTTCTCGTAGGGATTGTAGTGGGCTACGGTACTGACGGCCGAACCATTGCTGCCGCTGTAGCCACCGCCTCGTTTAGGCATAAGCTCGCCGAAGTGCTGTTCCACTGCCAGGGCATTGCGATCGCGTCCGCTCAACAGAAGACTTCCGTTGCTGAATGCTCCGCCAGCTCCAGTGCCGTTTGAGCTGCTGTCCAACAAGCTGGATCCACTCAAACCAAGACCCAAGCCATGCAGCGACGATTGTGCCTGCAGTTGTTGGTGGTGTGAAGTCTGGTGATGATTGTGATGCCCATGGTGATGAGACTGCTGATGATGACCGTGATGGCTACCCGCGCTGCTGGCGCTACTGTTGCTGGCGCTCTGTGTAGGCCTGGCAATCGGGGGCTGCTTTCCATGACCATTGCTGGTCAGGCTTAGGCCAGCATGTCCTCCGTCCGAGCTGCTTGCCCGAATGTAACCGAAAGTGTTGCGCACTCCGGCCTGAATCGACTGATAATTGGACATAAACTCCATTTCGAAGGGAAGCTGCATCTCCTGGATGCCCATCTGTAGTTGCTGCTCCAGAGATTTGCGCAAGAGCAGGGCCTCTGTCAGCAAAGAGGATGGCGGAGCTGGACTCCGTTCAACCGCTTCACAGGTGGCCAGTCCCTTGTCGATCAAGTCACGGGAACGTTGCTGCCACGAACTGTTGCTGTTCACCTTTGCCGAGTACAGTGTCTCCAGCTCCTTGAGAAGTTCTGTCTTGCGCTCATCGAGCATGGAGGCGAAGAACTGATGCGTCTCGTTCAGCTCGTTGTGTGCCTTCTGGTACTGCAGCTTAACCTTGGTGAGATTCTGGTCCGAATTTCCGGCAATGCCGACAATCTCGCCAATCTTTCCGCGCATGTCTGCGAGCAGAGTCTGCAAAGCTGACTCATTGGCCGTTGATCCCGTCGAGGTTGACAATCCGGGTGACTGCACGTTCTCCAGTTCATGGAGACCTGTAGAGTGTTCCAATACAATGCATTCCTTGCACACCAGAATGCAGCAGGTGCGGCAACTGAACTTGAGCAGCTCCTGTTTGTGACGCGGGCAGAAAAGTTGCCTTTGCTGCTGCTGTTGCTGCTGAGGGTGCAGAGAACCATAGATGCTATCCTCTCGCTGTTGCTCCTGGGAATTTGCTTGGGCAGCGGCTGCCAGTACAATCTTCGAGAGTTGAGACATAGGCTGCGCCGGCAACAGTTGTTGTTGCTGCTGTTGCTGTTGTTGCGAGTCGAGTTGTTGCTGCTGCTGCTGCAGCATCATGGTCAGCGAACTAGAGTACTTGAACTCATTCGAGGCCGGATTGTTGCTGGGCGAACCCACGGAGAGAGGAGTACCAGTGGTGCTCGCCTCGAAACCCTTGATCAAGCACACGTTGTGCCCGTTGAAACAGTGCATAAATTCGTGAGCAGTCACACAGTTGGCGCACAGATAGCTCTGACAATCGAAGCACTTGGCCACGGCATCGCTGCACTTGCTCTTGCAGGCGGTGCAACGTGGCGGTGATCCATTGGCGGATGTGTTGCTCGAGGAGCTGTTGCTGCTGCTGTTGCTTCCCTTGCCGGCTCCCACAACCAGACTGCTGATGCCTGAGTTGCTGCCATTGTTTGAGCCCTGAAGATTGCTACCAATCACCCCTGGTCCATTGCTGCTAGCCACATTATTGGCGCTAATCACACTGCTGCTGGTGCTGCCGCAACCGCTGAGGCCGCTAGTCGAGGAGCTGGACGATGACGAAGACGAGGATGAGGACGAGGACGACGACGAGCAGGATGATGAGCTGGCCGATGAGCTGGACGAAACCGAGGCCGAGATCGGGTGATGGCCATTGATTACCGTCACCTCGGAACGCGACTTAACGCTGCTGCCGCCTGTGTACTCATCACTGCAGATGGCCGAATCGCTGGCCGGTGGCGATGAACCGCTCAACGTGAGCGGTGAGTCTGATAGATAGCCGGCGTGTTCGTACGATTCAATCGAGTTTGCCCCGCCCCGCATCGAGTCCAGAGATGGTGTCGGTGAGGACGCCATCTTTGTGTTGTAGTTGCCGTCGGTGGCTCCGTTTACCTTTAGGAGTAACAGCTGAAAAGGCAAAGAAAGAAAGTGGAAAGGTTGATTAGACTCGGTTTGGATTAACGTAAGTTTTTCTTTTTCCCCCCCCTAAATCCCAATTTAATTGTTTTGTTTTTCCCTACAATACAGGTGAATAATCTCGGCTGTCTGTACAACCCCGAATGCCCTCCTTTTCCTCCCCTCAAATCAACTGACCCATGAGTCACCTGCGGTCCTTGTCTTCTATCCTTATGAGTCAGCAGCTCCTCCACTTGAACCGAAACGTTTTGGCATTTCCATGGGCCCCGCAAACAAACAAATGTGCCACACCCCACAGACAGACGGCCCCCTTTTCCTTAGTCATCCCCTTTGTTATCATAATTTGTAGTTAATTGCCTCCATCCAACTGACAAGTCTCGTCTAATCCCCTAAAGCACGACAGCTGTGACCCGTGTTTTATTAAACATCTTCGAAGACGACAGTTGAAAGGTATGTGTTCCTTCCCCTAGGTTTACTATTTTCCCTGCACCCACCCACAAACAGAATCGAATCAAACTAGGAAACACGCCCCCACGGAATGCTTTTAAATACAATTCCAATTTCTTACGACAGAGTGGAGAAGCGTAGCTAAAAGTGAAGTGAAGCTGTACGGCTGGATGAAAGGAGTTTGACCGGGAGGAATATCCCCATCCTCCCTGTCCGTCTATATCCCTTCGCCTACCCTCTAACCTTTATCCTTCGTTCAGAGACGGACACAAATGCAATAAACGCACGCACAGACAGAAGGAAGGACACCCCGTAATCATAATTTTACTTCCCCTTTTCGCTGCCTTCGCGGTTCGTTGCCTTCGAGAAGAAAACTGTGGAGTTGGATAATATGGCAACAGCAGCAGCAGCAGGAAAAGCAGGGGAGTTTCACAACAAACCCCCGCCGCAGAAAAGTAAACAACAAAAAAAAAAAAGGACGAACTCTGGGAGCCCTGGAGAAACTTCTCTAGATTTCCAGAGCAGGCGAAACTTCCGTCAACAAGAAAATCAACGTAAAAGGCAATTCAAGTGAAAGCCAAGAGAGCGAGCGCCAGCGAAACGAAACGAAACTCAAAATCAACCCCGAAAAATGCGCCCAAGGGGGGAAATGTTGTATGCCAAGAGGGAAGGAGATGGTGTAAGGGACTGCAACTGTCTAGACTGGATGAACATTTATCATGCACACACACACACACACATACAACCAAAAACAAATTTTATTCACCGTGCTTCCTAGAGAAAATCCTTAATAATTCTAGAAACATTCTCATTTTCGTTGCGAAGGAAACTAATTAGGTTCGTAAACAAGTTTATTTAGTTGGCCAAAATAGCAATTAAAATATGAAACATTTTTATAAAAAAAAAAGTACAGTATACATTCCATGGAGAGGTGTTTAATTTGGAAAAGATTCTCAAAGTAAAAGTTTAAGAACAACGACAAAGGACTGAAGCTAAAAGTTGTTAAATTAAGCTTAACAAGTTTTGCGGAACCCTTTTCTATTAGTTATTGAGTACCCCCGTAATCTGAATACCGATATATAATATAGGAACTGGTAATCCCTGATAAATACCAATATCTACCGGTGATTCTCCCCAACAAAGGAGGAACACTATGAAACAAAAAAAAAACATAAAACTCATTAAACGGAGATAAGCCGACTTACCTTTACTGTTTTGTTGTTATATCTTGTTGTAGAATTTTCTATATATTCCAGTTTCGTTTCCTGGTTTGTTGTTGTTGTTGGTTGTTGCTTCTTGTTGCTAGTTGCTAGTTGCAGTTGCTTTCTCGCTCTTCCTCACTACGCAGTCTATATAATAAATTGCGTGGGATGGTTGCCGTTGTTGTATTTGTCGTTATTGTTGCAGTAACAAGTTGAAACAAATTTGTGTAGCATACTTTCAAGTGCTGTCAGTTAATTGCGTCGCGCACACAAAAGGCTGCAATGGAAAATAAAGCACAAAATTATTATTAGAAAGGATAATTGAATACAAGGTTAATTGTCAGTTTTTGCTATTTTGTTTATTACAATGACGTCGTGCGCGTTGTTTTTTTTTTTTTGTTCTTGTTCCCGGCAAGGACACTGCAAGCTAATATAAAGGTGAAATGTCCGCTAGTTATGTACAAATCGCGTGTGACGTGAATGCGACGCGGCTTCCTGCAAAACTAACTCTGCGCATAATGCAGCGACCCGGGTAAAGCTCAGGTCCCCGCCAAAGCAGCGACGTCGACAGAGACTGTGACAGAGGCAATGGCAGAGAGAGGCAAATGTCCTGGGATTTTCCTGCTCCCTAAAAAAAGACAACAACAACTACACAAGTTGCAGCAATGCAATGCTAGATACTCCAGTCTGAGATTTTTTTGTCTGACATTTAATCGAGCAATTGCTAGAAAGACAGGGAAAAAGACTAGAGGAAAAACCGGGAAAAATCAATAAATCCTATTTACATTTGCAAAGAGAGCGACGAACGAGGGAGAACCCAAAAAAGCGCTCTTTTTTGCCGAACTGTTGAATGCCGGCTGCAAAAGCAACAATACAACTGCACATCATCGCCACCCCCTTTTTGCTTATGGTTTAGTCACCCCTAAAACAATATGGCGGCCACTCACCCACAACAACATAAATAAAAAAGAAAACCTCCCCCCCAACGAAAGAGCAACAATTTTCGACGGCAAAAAACATTTTTTTTGCGCGCGCTACAGGTTGCGTGAGAGTAGTAAAGAGAGAAAGGAGAGAGAAAATAGACAGCCGAGAAAAAGAGGAGTCAGAAGAGAGGAGCAGCGCAAATACAGGAAACAATAAACGTGAACTACACAGAAATCAAAAACAACTAATATTAAAGTAAATAGCTTAGAATTATTTATTATGGAAATATCTTTTTAAAATTTTTGGAATTGCCAATCTAACACCATAGGTCATTAACTCAAATTTTCTTTCAATGTATCGTGTGCGCATGCTTTTTTTCCCAATTTGGGCAACGACCGCATCCAAAAGCAATAAAAACAAAACGTTCTCTCATGCTGCCTGCTTTTGTCCCTCTCTTTCTACCTTTCTCCCGTTCTTTCCTCTCTGCATTTCTCTGTTCTATGTTGCCGCGGAAGTTTCGAGAGAAATAGAAGAGACAACTATGCTAGAAATGACGTTGCAGCAGCAGCATCATCGCATTCACATCTCATCAACATAACTGCATAGCGAAAATTTCTGTACACCGGCAAATGCTGCAGTGTGAAAGAGACAGTTGACTACAGAGGGCGGAGAACGGAAGAGATGAGAGGAAAAATAGCCAGACGACAGGCACATAAATTCACACAAATACACAAACACACATGCGGATAAATACGGATTTACACGTGTAAAGTAGCGGCAATTTTTTCCTTCTTTTTTTTGCAACATTGCCAACTGTTGCGAATCGAGGAAAATGAGGCAGGGCAGCAAAAAAGAGAAGCGCAGATCTTCAAAAGGTATCGATCACTCACTCGTTTTAGCACTTACCGCTCACACCTGACACGCACGCACACACACACACACACACTCACCTATGTCCGTAGACAAAAAACTGACTCATAAATTTACCACCGGTAATTTCAACAAATTAGTTAATAAACACAAGAATAGCACTGAAACGTCACCGTTCAAAGGGGAAAATAAATAAATCATTTTTTTGACTTTAGAACCACCAATACCCTAACTAAACCTACTACCCTATAATTAAATGTATTCTTTTTAATATTTGTTTTATAAAAACTGTGTAATGTTTTGTAAAAATGATTACCAGATGAGAGTTATTTGACATTCCCAATTAAACACTGGAATTTAAGAGTAAAACACTTCTAAAAAAAAATTAAATAATAAAGAAACTGTAAAATAATCATTATAGATAACATTTCTTTGCTAGTCTTAAGTAGAAAAAGAAATGAATTTGTTATAAATCAAAAACCAAAATATGTCAAATTTGCAATACCCTAATATAGGGCACTAAAACAATAATTTATCATTGATGAACAGAGGGACTAATGAAGAGGGGTTGATAATAAGCGAGTTGTCTATCGATTAGATTAGCAAATTTCGGAGATAGTTGATGGAAGGCAGGCCGGAAGGGTGTTAAAGTGGTTCGGGCCATATCAAACTGACAGTTGGATTGTATATATTGACAAGATTAATATCATTTGAGGCCACAGGCCCATCAGAAGAATTGTATCGTCTCCACTTTTTGAGAGATGGGAGTGGAGCTCAATGTCGGTGCCATATGTTTTACTTAGCATTATTTTTGTTTGAGGGAGGGAGGGTTGGAAAGATGGGGTACATGAACAAATTCCAGAACGCTTGTAAAAGTGTTTAAAAATAGAGCGGGCTAATAATCAGAAATGCGAGTGCAGTGCACTGAGGGCGTGCCCCAACACCCTCCATCTTCCTCCTTCTTCTTCCATAATTAAGCACAAAATAAAGAAGAAGAAGACGATGCGAGGGAGGAGGTGAAAGAAAGAGAACCAGAACCAGAACAAGAACAAGAACAAGAAAGGGAGCAAAGCAAAGGCAAAGCGAGGCAAAAGAATCGACGTGGTTACCCCATGTGAGAAGTGGAACAAACTGCGCACAGGCATTACTAATGCAAAACAATTTGTACAAGATTATAAATTTCATGGCTCAGGAGAAGTGGAAAGAAAACAAAACAAAGTATTACAGCGATGTGCTGATGACGATGATTATGGAAAATATAAAATGATCAAGAACAAGAGCGGACGGACAGCACCAAGTTCAAGCCAAATCTAGATGGTGTGTGGGAGAGAAAAAATAAGAGGGTGCTGCTGTACAGTCGAAACTCTCTAACTCAGACTTGAAACTTAAAAGATACAGCTGGTTTCAGATCCATTGTAGTGCTGAATTAGTGGTGATAATAAATTCTTGTGATTTCACTGTACTAAAATGTTGAACCCTTGCTCTGCTGCTTGAAATATAAATTATTTTTTCACATCTACTCAATTTTTTGTTTTTATACATTCTTGACATTGATGATTTCATTTCATATTATAATTTTGATAAGAAATAAAACAAAGAATTTAATTTGACTTGAACAAATATGAAATCTTCTATTTTAATCAGAAAAAAGTATTAATAGAAGCACCACTGTAATTCCGCGCAAAAAGGCATAAAAAGAACCAACAACAAAAACATGAAAACGGGGAAGAGGAAGCAGGGAGTGTACGTTCTGGTTGTGCAGCAAAATAAACAAGGCTGTGTTCAACTTCCATGCATTCCCCTGCGAAATGTTTTTGGGGTTGCAACTGCAGCAGAGAGTTCAATGGTACCAAAAGCAGCAATAGCAGCAACAAAAACAAAGGCAATTACCATGACACATACACCCACAGACAGTGGTGGTCAGAATATTGAACACAGGCTAATATCTAACAAAAAACCAAATTCGCACAAGTTTTATTTGCAAATTAAAACAAAAACATTTTCAATAATGTAAATGACTCAAATTAATATGCTGTTAAATGCTCAAAATAAAAACTAATGAGAGACAAACCAGTTTTTTATTTAATTATTTGCATTTATGAATTTTCAAATCATGCTTCTGTGTATTAATTAGTTTATTGACACCTCTTCATTTAACGACTTGCCGTTTTATCAATTATTGCACGTTAAAATTGGAAACTATTAAAAAGGAAGTTCATTTCCTTATTTGATTTTTTAGCGATTACATTAAAACATCAATAAATACCTTAAGTGCTACTATTTTAAACACAACTATATGCATAGGATACATAGACATACTCAAAACTGCAACGAAAAATAAAAGAGAAGCCCAACACAAAGAGCAATCCATAAAACAGAAAGAACAAAGAAAACTACCTTTACCTGCTCGAAACACACACATACATATACAAACAGACGACTTCTTCTAAGCGAGGCAACAAAAATGCTGGCAGTTGGCAGATAAAATATCCGTCCCGATCCCAATTCCAATCCACATCCCATAGCAACTAACCATCCCATTCGCATCCTCAATTTCATCGCAAAGGCACCGCCAACATCACGACCTCCGCCGTGGTTCGATGCAAATTGCGATACAGTGGGTATTGGCAATAGGAAACTGCGTGGATTAAGAAATATATATAAGTTTATACAATCTTTAGCCTCGTTTTCATAACAATAAAAGCTATGCTATACAAATTTATAAACAGAGAAATTCCCTATTTTAATTACGTTCCTTATCTTTAAGAAAATGTACAGAGGAACTTTGATATCATTGATTGTTTCAGAATCTTTACGTTTTCAATACTGTATGGGTTTTCACTCTTTATCGTAGATAAAACAAGGGACCTCATATTGTGGACCCAACACTTATGTTCAACACGTAGAATCTTAAGCCAAATAATCCCACAGATTTTATGGTAACAAGATACGGATTGTAATTGGTAGACTTTTAAATTCTTTCAAACCGATCTTTACTGTAATCCCCAGTCGAATTCGTCGAATTCTGCGACGTTTGCTCCTCCCGCATTTTTGTAGTTTTTTTTTTTTTTGTTGTTTTTTTTTTTTTTAGACGACGCCAGCTATGCGTCAGCAGTGAAGCGACCCCCAAAGCGGCAGCTGCTGCTGAATGAAATTGACTTGACGCATTTTATTGAAGGAGACAATGGGCAAAAAACGAAGAACAACAAAATATCTGCACAAGGGAGTTTTATTGTTGCAGAAGAGAGGAAGAGAAGGAGGAAGAAGTCAGAAGAGGTAACGAAGAAGAACGGCAGCATCCAATTTAACAGAGGGTCCCGAGCTCCCAGACGCTCTTCCTCTCCCTCTTTTACCCTCCTTCCATTCTTACTTCTTCGCGGGTCGTTCTCCCACGACCAATCTCCCTCTCTCTCCCACTCGCATCAAAGGCCCCGCAGGTCAACGGCGTCGTTGCAGTTCTTGTTCTTTTTTTTTCTGTTGTCT